GTGGTGTGGGTGACAGCATTCGAAGCCAGACGTACCATCAATGCCATCTGGTTTCTGAATCTGGCGGTGGCCGACCTCCTGTCATGCTTGGCCCTGCCTGTCCTGTTCATTGCCATTGTAAAGCATGGGGACTGGCCCTTCAGCCCCCAGGCCTGCTCAATCCTGCCCTCACTCATTCTGCTCAACATGTACGCCAGTATCCTGCTGTTGGCCACCATTAGTGCCGATCGTTTCCTGTTGGTGTTCAACCCCATCTGGTGTCAGAAGGTCCGAGGGCCCGGCCTGGCGTGGATGGCCTGTGGAGTGGCCTGGGTCTTAGCTCTGCTCCTCACCATCCCATCCTTCATATTCCGTCAGGTGCACAAAGACCCCTACTCAACCAAGACGGTGTGTGGTGTTAACTACGGTAAGGGCGGCTTCCGCACGGAGAGGGCTGTTGCCCTGCTGCGGCTGCTCATGGGTTTCGTGTTGCCTCTGCTCACACTCAGTGTCTGCTACACGTTCCTTCTTCTACGGACCTGGAGTCGCAGGGCCACACGCTCCACCAAGACGCTCAAGGTTGTGGTGGCTGTGGTTACCTGTTTCTTTGTCTTCTGGCTGCCCTACCAAGTAACAGGGGTCATGTTGGCTTGGCTGTACCCATACTCATCCACTTTCGAGAAGGTGCAGAGGGTGAACGCCCTGTGCGTGTCCCTGGCCTACATCAACTGCTGCGTCAACCCTATCATCTATGTTGTGGCTGGCCAAGGCTTCCAGGGGCGGCTTCGCAGGTCTCTTCCCAGCATCATCCGCAAAGCGCTCTCGGAGGACTCCATCGCCAGGGACAGCAAGTCTTTCACTCGGTCCACGGTGGATACCTCAACCCAGAAGAGTCAGGCAGTGTAGAGTAGATGCTGCCACTACCTCTTCTGCTCCTTCTCCAGTCCTCCTCTCTCTCGTTTCCTCCTTTTTATCTTCTGCTTCCTTCTCCTTTTCCTTTTCCTCCTCCCCCTTGCTCTCCCCCTTCTCCCCTTCTCTTTGCATGTTTAATTTTATGAGATGCTCTCTAAGTTGCCCTGGCTAGCCTTGTACTCAGGAGGCTGGATGCTGGGATTATAGGCACAAATTCTTTTAAAGAAAAGTATCACACTCACTAAGATATTACTTGGCTTTCATTTTTTTTTTCCCCTCCAACATAGGGTTTCTCTGTAGTTTAGGAGCCTGTCCTGGAATTCACTCTGTCGATCAGGCTGGCCTCTAACTCACAGAGATCCACCTGTCTCTTCCTCCCAAGTGCTTCAGAGTGTGCACCTCCACCGCCTGGTCGTGTTATTTATTATTATTATTCTTTTTTTAAAATGATACTGGGGATTAAAGTCAGGGCCCACAAATGCCACTCAAATAAATTACCACTGAGCTATATAGCCCGAGACTCCAGGGAACCAGTAACCACCTACCTTCTCTCTCTCTCTCTCTCTCTCTCTCTCTCTGACACAAGGTCTCATGGAGCCAAGTGTTGTGATTCTAGGCCTGTGTTACTGTGTCCAAGCCATCCTTTATCTCTACAGTGTTGTCTCTTCATGAATGGTGTTGGGTGGAATCCAAGCTTTGTAAAGACAGCTGTACGTGGCTTGTATGATAAAGACTTTTTAAAAAGGTATAAAAATGTGTTATTTAATCTTTTAAAGCATTTATTTATTTATTTTATACGGGGTGGTTCTGGGCACATGCCACGTGTTATAACTTATTTCAAAATTGGTGTGAAGAAGGAACGCCATACAACAGGGTTCACATGGGAGGTTTATTGGAAGAGGAGAGAGAAGGGGCAGAGAAGGGAGCAAAGACCTGTCCCTGGGGACAAGAATGGTAGAGAGAAAGAGAGGAGGGGGAAGAAGAGAGAGAGAGAGGGAGAGGGAGAGGGAGAGGGAGAGGGAGAGAGAGAGAGAGAGAGAGAGAGAGAGAGAGAGAGAGAGAGATGGGAGGTGGGCAAGGTCCACCTTTAAAAAGGGAACTTAGCGTATGTGCACAGGGGGCGCTCTCAGTGGCTGCTGAGGACGGATCCTGTCAGGACCCCAAGGGCAGGCCAGTACGATGCCTGAATACGAACACTGTGACGTATGTGTGGAGGTCAGAGGACAAGGTGTTGGAATTTGTTCTCTCATTTCAACTATGTGGGTCCCGGGAATTGAATCCAGGTCATTAGGCTTGTGAGCAAGCGCCTTTTGCTGCAGAGTTATATGGTCGGCCGAAAATGTACTCTTTTATAACGTGTAATTTCAGCTTAGAGAACAAGTGCGCGTGAGTGTGTGTTGGTTAGAACGAGGCAATCGGGTGAATGGTTTTGAATTTTCTGGCCAGCACACTAAAAAAGGGAAAAAGAAAAATTCAATAAGAAAAAACCTGGGTGTCGGGGTGCAAGTCTCAGGAACCAGAACTGGGCATGAGAAACCAGCCTGAATTACCCAGGGAGACTTGTCTCACAAGTCCACACAAGCAATAAATAAAGAAAAATTCTGGAGTTTGGCTCTGCTAGGTCATCCTTCTTCTAGGTGGATATGACGGTTGGTTTCTACCCATGTGCTAGTATATATCCTGTTTCTATATGGTGGCGGTGACAGAGATCAGAGATGTCACCAGGACTTTTTGGTTTTTCGAAGCAGGGTTTTCTGTGTAGCTGGCCTGGAACTCAAGGATCTGCCTGTCTCTGTCTCCCGAGTGCTGGGATTAAAGGCATGAGCCACCACATCCGACTTTATTCTATTTTTTGGATGGCCACTATGGGTTGAAACTTGCTTTTGAGACAGGCTCTCATTCAGGCTGGTCTCAGGCTGGATATATAGCTGAGTCTGGTCTTGAACTTGTGATCCTCCTGCCTCCACTGCCACAGGGTGGAATTAAAGGTGTGTCCCTGACCCACTAGACTTGTCTCAGTCTTTTGTGATTTTCTTGCTCCTGACCTCTCCACCTGCTCACCCCTGTTCTACAAACCTCTTCCTCTCCAGCTTCTCCATTCCAGGAAAAACCACACTGACCACCTGCTCACCCACGCCCTTTTGGCCTACCCAGTGGAGACTCAAACCTTCCTCCTACCACACACCCGGCTGCTCCAGGTCCTCTGTCTTCTCCCCTTTGGGTCCATGTCTCACCTCTCCCCTGGTCTCCTGGTTGCCCATTCCTGCTCCCATTCTGTTGCCTTGCCAAGTGTCTCCACCTTTCAGGGAGTCCCCTGTGACCACTCCCACCCTGCTTCCCGCCCCCAGTCTTCATTCCTGGACACTTTTGAGCTTCCTGGTTTAGAGCATAAGTAGTAGTGGCTCAGCTCCTTCCCAGCGCTGTCCAGAAGATGCTGTTTTAAGGGCTGTGCCTGCGCAGGGGTGCAGGCCTGGGAAGATGGCTCAGCGATTAAGAGCACACATTCCTTTAGAGCAATGGTTCTCAACCTATGGGTCATGACCCGTCTTACAAATCTCTATCTCCAAAAATATATTTTTAGTTTATTTATTTTCATTTTATGTGCATTGGTGTTTTGCCATAGGTGTTAGGTCCCTTGGAATTGGAGTTGCAGACAGTTGTGAGCTGCCATGTGGGTGCTGGGAATTGAACCCAGGTCTTCCGGAGGACCAGTCAGTGTTCTTTTTTTTTTAAATATTTATTTATTTATTATGTATACAATAGTCTGTCTGTGTGTATGCCTGCAGGCCAGAAGAGGGCACCAGATCTCATTACAGATGATTGTGAGCCACCATGTGGTTGCTGGGAATTGAACTCAAGACCTTTGGAAGAGCAGGCAATGCTCTTAACCTCTGAGCCATCTCTCCAGCCCCCAGTCAGTGTTCTTAACCATTGAGCCATTTTCCTAGTCCTCTCCAAAAATATTTACATCATAGTTCATAACACTAGAAAAATTAGTTATGAGCAGGGTGGTGGTGGCATATGCATTTAATCCTAGCACTTGGGAGGCAGAGGCAGAGGCAGGTGGATCTCTGTGAGTTTGAGGCCAGCCTGATCTACCAGAGCTAGTTCCAGGACAGACTCCAAAGCTATAGAGAAACCCTGTCTTGAAAAACCAAAAAAAATTTACAGTTATGAAGTAACAATGAAAATAATGTTATGGTTGGGAGTCACCACAACAAGGGACTGTATTAAAAGGTCACAGTGTTCATTAGGAAGGTTGTGGACCATCATTTTAGAGGACTTGGTTCAGTTCCTAGTATCACATAGTGTCTCCTAATGGTCTGTAATGGCCTCCATACACACCAAGCACATGCATGGTGTACAATCATACATGGAGGCAAAACGTCCATACATATAAAATAAAAATAAATACTTAAAAAGAGAGTTGGATCCAGGGCAGGATTACTTCACCAGGTAGAAGGCTTTCCTAGCAAGCATGAAGCCTGGGATTCAGTTGCTAACACTGAATACCCACCCCCCATGGTGGCAGGGCGTGGTGGTACACGCCTTTAATTCCAGCACTCCACACAGAGGCAGGCAGATTTCTGGGAGTCTGTGGTCAACCTGGTCTACATAGTGAGTTGCAGGTCAACTAGGGATACATAGTGAAATTTGGTCTCAAAACAAAACAAAACAACAACACACATACACACACCTGCACGATAGCGCACACCAGTAATCTGAATACTTAGGAGGTATTTGTATTTGATGCCCTTTTCTGGCCTCCACAGACATGCATGTAGTATACAGATATATACATAGACAAAACACTCATGCACCATAGGGTAAAAATAAATTAATTTAAAAAATCTCTCCCAAAAGATCTGGACATACAACAGATCATGGTCATAGAGGGGATCCAGGTGGTAACCCCAGGCAACTGGGGGTTAACCATCCCTGACCCAAACAGAAGTTGGCAGAGTGTCCAGGGGATTGCCAAACATGTGGCCTGTGGAATCTGCTCTGTCAACAGGGCTTGGAAGGGGAAGTGACCAGGAAAGGAAGTGGGCTAAGAGCTTGGTGGCCTCTGTTGTGTATTCTCTCCTCCCCCAGTCCCATCCTTCTGCACACTTCGGTTCTGCACACCCATCTGCTCTTCAGATGCAGTGCTGCAAAGTCTGGGGCCTTCCCTTGTTCTGGTGACCTCTGGGAGCCTCAGAGGAAGCTATTGCACGGTGTTAGAGTCTTCTGGCATGAAACATGAGGCGCTGGGAGAGGGTACAGTGAGGAAAGTGCTTGCCATTCAAGCAAAAGGACATGAGTTCCAGTCCCAGAGTCTGAGTACAAGGTAGGCACAGTGGCGTGCACTTGTAGCCTTGGCACAGGGGAGGTGGATCGCTAGGGCTTGCAGCTGGTCTAGGCTGATCCCATGGAGAGTCCCTGTCTCAAAAACCAAGGTGGGAGGAAAGGAGGGCCTAGAAAGGTGGTTCAAAGGTGTGTGCCACCGTGCCCAGTAGCAAGTGTTCTTAATAGCTGTAGCTCCACCTTCTGTGTATATATTTTATTAATCTATCTAAGATAATATTTTGATATGTGATCAGCACAAAAATATCCTTGAGTCTGAGCGTGTGACTCTGTGTAGAGCCCCTTCCTAGAATCCCCCAGTGAGGGGGTGGAGTGTGGCTCAGTGGTAGAGCCCCTGCCTAGAGTCACCTAGTGAGGGATTGGGGGTATGGCTCAGTGGTAGAGCCCCTGCCTAGAATCCCCCAGTGTATTGATTACTTTCCTAGGCTGTAATAATATCATGACCAAGAGCAATTTATGGGAGAAAGGGTTAATTTGCCTGGTGGTTCTAGAGGGTTAATCAATAAAACGAGAAGCCATGGTAGCCGGCAGCTGGAGCAGTAAGCTGGTTGATCACATTTTCACCCATAGACTATAGAGAAAGGATTCAGGAAGTGAGGTAAGAATATAAAAACCCCCAGAGCCCACCCTCAGTGACCCACTTCCTCTGCGAGGCTCCACTTTCTAAAGTTCCATAATCTCCTCAAGCAGCACCAACAACTGGTCAAATAGAAGGGCTTACGTGTAACATTCCTTCTTCAGTTACTAACAGGCAGTGAGGAGCTTGGTGGCCAGGGGTAGAGACAAAGAATTTGAGGACCTAGTGGAGGAAATATATATATGAAACCACCAAGTGTTTTCAGTTATACCCTTAAAATCCAGGACCTCAGTGTAGTATGGAGGAGCTTTACCACTGAGCCACACCCCAGCCCTCACTGGGGGATTCTAGGCAGGGGCTCTACCACTGAGTCACGCCCCCAGCCCCTCACTGGGGGATTCTAGGCAGGGGCTCTACCACTGAGCCACACCCCCAGCCCCTCACTGGGGGATTCTAAGCAAATACCCTAAAGTTGAGCCAGACTTCAAGACTTCTATCATCTTGGCACATTTATTGACCAGATAAGTTCCCCTGAAATTCTCCTGGAGGTGTAGGGAACACACAGGGGCCTCTCAGGATGAGAGAGGCCTCAATCAGATCACAGAGTTTGCAGCTCTTGACTCAGAAGCAGCTTCCTCTAACAACATGACTTAACATTCCAAATACCGACAGAAGAATTCATGACCACATCCCCTTAAGGTCTTAAGCATGGCTAGGAGAGAGAAATATGACCATCAAAAACTGCTGAGTGAAGAGATTCCAACGTTAGAGTTGAGGCCATTTCTTCTTCTTCTTCTTCTTCTTCTTCTTCTTCTTCTTCTTCTTCTTTTTCAAGATAGAATTTCGCTGTGAAGCATTGGAACTTGCTCTGTAGACCAGGTTGACCTTGAACTCACAGATCCAACTATCTCTGCCTCCCGAATGGTGGAACTAAAGACCTGAGCCACCACCACCCGGTGAGGCTTAGCATCTTAAGCCTCAACCATGTGTGTGGGTGTGTATTTAAAGATAGGGGAAGTTGAGGCAGGCAAATCTGTAAGTTTGAGGTCATCACGGGCTACAATATAAGATCCTGTCTCTAAAGAAGACAAAACCAAAAACAGCCACCACGGTCAACTTCTTTTTTTGTTGTTACTACCTTTTTCTTTTAAGTCTGCATGCACACAGGCCTGAGAGTTACAGCTAGCGTATGAAGGTCAGAGAACAACCTTAATCCTAGACCTTCAACTTCTACTTTGTTTGGGACAGTCTCTTGTTGCTTGCAGTGGCAGAGGTCAGACTAGCTGGGCCCACATGTTTCCAGGGATTCTCCTGTCTCCCCTGACTATCTCCCTCTATGAATGCTGGAATTACATGCATGGAATCCTGCACTTGACTTTTATGTGGGTTAGAAATTCAACTTAGGTCCCCATGCGTGTGTGACAAGCATGCTCCCACCTACCCATCTCTGGCTCTGTCTGTATTCTGCAACAGTGCCTTGCTGTATAGACCAGACAGGTCTCCAGCTTGAGATTTTCCTTGCCTCTACCTCCAGAGTGCTGGGATGACAAGTGTGTTCTCTCACGCCTGCTATGTCTGCATACCTGCAGGTGAAAAACCCGAGGCCCAGAGAGGGGACAGGACTTGCAATTTTAGGTTCCATGGAAGCCTCGGGCCTGGGCTTGACTTCTTGATCTTTCTGAGTTGGGTTAACACTGGACTATCTTCCTCAGAACGTTTGAGGAAAGAAAAATCTTTTAAGAGTCTGTAGCTCAGGCAGCAGAGGCAAAGATGAGAGCAGGAGGGTCAGCTGGCAGCTAGTGTTTACTGTGGGATCTTAGGGGCCCTTCAGGGCAGAGGGTGGGTGGGAGGTAGTTTCAAAGATAGCCCTCTAGACCTTGTGGTTTACAGTCCACACAGATCTGGCTTCCAGGAAACTGATGACGGTGAGACTAAGGGTGGAGACACTGTCCAGCTCTCCTTTTCCAACCTTTCTGTCTGTGGTTTAATCTGTGACTCACGGGGGGGGGGGAGACAAATATTCCCCTGAGGCTGGGAGGAGGCCACGCCCATTTTTCCTGGTTTAGGTTTAATAGGGCCCTCCGAGAATCCCATAGGATCCAGGGAAACAGAGTGCTGAGACTCACCACAGCTACGGCTGAGACCGGCCAGCTCCTGCCCCTGGTGGAGAGACCCTGGGCCTCCCAGCAGCTGCTGTGGCCTGATCTTGCGCTTGTAAGCAGCATTTGGCTAATTTGAGACCAGTTGGAAGAGAAGGTAAGGAAGAGGCATGAGAGAGGGTGAGAGGAGTGGAGAGTTTCACAATTTTGGCTTCCTAGAAGCATTCACTTTAAAACCTTGAGTCAGAATTAGAATTCCAGATGGATATTTGATTTTTTTTTTCTGAGACACGCTCTCATGTTGCCCAGGCTGACCTCAAACTCACTCCTGTGACCAAGGATGATCTTAAAGGCGCGATTGTCCTGCCTTACCTGAGTGCGGGATTGCAGGCATGCGCTGTGGTACTCAGTTGACGGGGGCTTGGGATAGCACAGCAGCTCTCTACCACACCCACAGCCCTCCAGATAGAAATTATCCTCGCGGCTCGGGAAAACACGTCAGGGCGCCAGATACGTGCTACTAGCTAAGTCAGCCCAGTAAAAGATAAGTTCCGTCACGTTCTGCAGTGCAGGATACCCTGGTCTTCAGGGATCCCCAGGTTGGGGCCAGTCCTCCTAAAGTCAGTGTGTCTGGCGAGCAAGCCCTCGCCATACTCCATGTTCCTGTTTCCTTGGACAGCAAGGGTCACTTTTAGCCAAAGGTGAATTTACACAGGTACGTGTAGGTGTGCGTGGGTGGTAACTAGACAGCTCGGAGCTTCTGGTAAACGGAGCACATTCCGTAAGAGTGTTACCTGAGTCCGTTTCCAGCGTCAGAATATTGCCAGTCTGATTCTTATTTCTAACACAGAAGCACTCTCCTCACATTTTTGTTTTATTTTTTTTTCTTTATAAGTATTTAATTATTGGGCGGTGGTGGTGCATGCCTTTAATCCCAGCACTCAGGAGGCAGAAGCAGGCAGATCTCTGTGAGTTCGAGGTCTACAAGAGCTAGTTCCAGGATAGGCTCCAAAGCTACAGAGAAACCCTGTCTTGAAAAACAAAACAAAACAAAGTTATTTTATGGTTTTTATTGTATTACTTTTTTTCCTTTAAAAGTATTGTACGATTCTCAGATATTTTCTTTTAATTTTTTAAATAATGATTTGGTCGTGTGTAGCCGGGTGGTGGTGGTGCAAACCCTTAATCCCAACACTTGGGAGGCGGAGGCAGGTGGATCTCTGTAAGTCTGAGACCAGCCTGGTCTACGGAGTGAGTTCCAGGGCAGCCAGGGGGTACACAAAGAAACCCTGTCTTGGAAAAAAAAAGTTTGTGTGTATAGCGGCTCGAGTGTGCACCTTCCCTTCTTTCCGAATTGCCCTTATTTATTTATTGCATTGCACATGGTCATGTGTACCACAACCTGCATAAAGAACCAGAGGACAGCCCACTGTCAGCTGTGTCCTTCTGCCACGTGTGTCCCAGGAATCGAACTCAGGCCAGCAGGCTTGCAGGATGAGCACTTTATCCACCCAGCCATCTCTCTCAGACCCTAAGCTGCTCCTTTACCTCCTTAATTTGTTCTTTCTCTCACCAAATACCATATGAACTCTAGGAGTTTTCTAGATGCCAGAAACACACTGGAGCAAGCCTACACTGGGTGGAGCCCACACTGGGTGGAGCCCAAGTTCTGGGAAAGGGATAATTATAATGCCCATGTCTAAGACAGTCAGGACAGTCATTTCTGAAACATAATGCATGCACAGTGAACATCAGCGCTCTCTTTCTCTTTTCTGGATACAGGATCTCCTGTGACCCAGTTGGCCTCAAACTCAAATGCTGTGGTTACGGGAATGTGCCATCCGGTCCAGTTTATGTGGTGCTGGGAAACACTCTTCCAGCTGACTCGTGCCCTTAGCCTTACTTTCTGGTTTTCAGAAACAGGGTTTCATGGTATAACCTAAGCTGGCGTGGAACTTTGTATGTAGACCAAACTGGCCTCACACTCACGGTAATCCTCCTGCCTCAGTCTTCTAAGTGCTGAGATTTCAGAAAGCATCCCATGCCCAGGTTTTCCTATTTTATTGCATTTTTGCATACAAAATAGCATGTTTCATTATATATATATATATATATATGTATATTTGCTCTGATTAGATATCTATATATATTTAGATTTGCTCTGATTCACCCCCACTGACCTCTCTTATCAGCTCCAGGAAATCTGACTCCCTCTTCTGGTGCCCTCAGGTGTCATATACTTAAACAGACACACACGCGGGTATTCATGAATAAAAATTAAAAACATAAGTCATGTGTGGTAGACCA